AATGCCACGTAGAATTAAGGCAGTTCTGAAGGCGAAAGGGGGTCAAACACCGTATTAGTATGGTGTTCCTAATAATCCTTTAGGTGAGTGTATCTTCTGCAGCAAGGTGTTATGTAGGCATCCCCTGTGACTGGTCTAGACACTTGGGTGTTCAACAGTAAGGATCCTACGAGCCGGATTACCCTCAGGGAAACGTGCCACATGGCCGTAGTGCTGTAACTGACACTCCTTCATGATGCAGGTAATTCAGGACACAAAGTCAAACCAGTGGTACTCAAGGACTCTCTGAAGAGACATTGTACATAGTCTCCAGTCTTTGTCTCAGGTCACTGAATAGCATCCATGTCTTTCAGCCATACAGCATACTGAGAGCACCAGGACTCTAAAGATTTGGACCTTTGTTCTCTTACAGAAATATAGTGAGCGTCACACACCCCTAGCGACCTCATGAACCCTCATGCTCTCCCAATCTGTCTACTGACTTCATAGGAAGAGTCACCAGAATGTTGTTGTTGAGGTAAGTGAGCCTCTCAATGTGGTCGACATTCTTTTCGCAGAGTGGCACATCGCAGATGGTTGTGCATAAGACGTCATTAAAGACCTTGATCATAGTTTTGATCCAGGACACTTGCAAACCCAAACACTCAGACTCTCTTGAGAGCCCTGATTAGAGCCTTCATTGACTTCACCAACAGATTCTCCACAGCCACTGGACCCCATGACCCTGCCCAACACCCAGTCCATGCAAGCACTGATCAGAGTAGGAGCAAGAACACACCCATGATGAACCCCAGAATCAACTGGGAAGAACGCAGAAGTTCCCTGCACAGCACTCACAGTACCAGTAAGGAGGCCAGTCATAATGTCCAGCAACTTCAGGGGGATCACATGAGTCTCAGGAAGTTGGACAAAACAGCTTGATTAACTGAATCAATCTGTTCTCGGTCCGACTCCTGAGCGTGGTCACAAACTGGATGTGGTTTTATGATATGACCTCAAAAATGTTCAAATATATAAGACCTGTACGTGTCTCTGACCATATGCCTGTTATGTTTAATGTTCACACCCAGGGTGTTGTTGGGAATTGTTGCCACACCCCCATTATGCGGGGCTTATAAATAAGATGATGGTAACCTGCCTTGCCAGTGCTTTCAGTTCTCCTCCCTCCACAACTGCTCTGTATGTTTCCACTCCCAACAAGCTTTAAAATTATTTCAATTCTACCTGCGAAACCATCCTAAACCCCATAGCACCCTTTAAGTATGTCCAACCTAAAACAAAGTCTTGATACCGCCAGAAAACTCAGGCAAGCATGCAGATGGGGCTGAAAGAATGTGGAAAAGGACAGGCTTTAAATCAGCAAGAACAATATCAAATCACATCCATCAACCAAGGGTTTTATTTAGTTCCCCTCACAGCATCATCGGTGACATTCAAACTCAAGTACGATTCAGTGGTGCCCTGGTATTAGGTACTCCAGTGTACACTGCTAACTTTGGTAATTTCTCTCCCATCTCCCTCATCTAAGTAGAGTAATATCGGATTTAAAACCCTCTGCATACCCTCTCGATGTAGTGCCACCCCTTCTTCTGAAAGAGGTGTTTGACTGCATTGGTCCTTCTATTTTGGACATTATAAATAGTTCACTCATTTCTGGACAAATACCAGTGTTTTTTAAACATGCAGTTGTACAGCAACTTCAGCCACTTTTAACTGAAAATAATATCTTAGATATATTTCAGTCTGGTTTCAGGTTAAAACACAACACTGAGTCAGCACTTATTAAAGTTACAAATGATTTACTGCTTTCTGTGGACTCTAAGGACTGTGCGGTATTGTTGCTGTTGGATCTCAGTGCTGCATTCAACCACCACATTCTTTTAGATTGCCTTGGGTGCCGGGTGGTCATCTCAGGATCCACATTTGAATGGTTTGCATCATTTTTAGAATCGCGAACCTTTTCAGTATCTTTTAATGGAGCATCATCTAACCCTAGCCCTAACCCCTCTGTCACTGGTCCCTACCATAGGGATTGGTGCTTACTTGTATTTTGTTTTAATTGTACATGTTACCTCTAAGTCACATTATATCAAAGCACGGAGTGTCCTATCACTACTACACCGATGACACGAGGCTCTACCTCCCATTAAAACCCAGCAACCCCAATGCACTGCAACGCCTGTTTGACTGCCCAAAGGACATAAAGCAGTGGATGATGGCAAGTTTAATAAATCTGAACGAGAGCAAGATGGAGATATTAATATTTGGATCCCCGGTTGCTATTAGTCAAGTAGCTTATGATCTCTGGCCACTTAAATAGCCAGCTAAAATAAAAACATACAACTGTTGTAAGGTTTGGTTTACTTAGGTTTGTTCACAGGGAAATTGTTACCAGATTTTGAGTAGAACAGCCAAATTGAAAGAATCCAGTGCAGTCCATATGTCTTGTGGTATCCATAATCTACACTAACAATAATACATTTCTAACCTTGCCAGTCTCTCATGGACTGAATGAAATGCCAGAAAACGTCACTTACAGTGTGTAAAGTTTTATATCTCTAAGGATACTTTTCACAAAAAAAGTATTTAATGTATTGATGCATCCATCCGTAGAGATTCAATATCTGCATTTCTGGTTCATATTTCTGTCATACAGAGTTTCTGGGAAAAGTGAGATATAAGGTATATGACTGAATTTAGTAATCATGCCCATACTGATTCACTCAGACGGGTACACATCGTGTGTCACATTTACAACATTTGACAATATTTACAGGATATTTATCTGATCAATTTGGCGGCTAGACAGTTTGCTCTGCTTTCCGCTCCAACACTGACAACATTATAGTCAAGCCAAAAATGACCAGGTTCTCAACCAGTCTGGCTAATCCCCCAAAATATCTGAATAAGTTGAGAAAAGATGAACTGCTGTTCTGACCATTCCTATATTTTTTTTTATTCATTGTAGTCTATGGTGAAATATCGTGGAGTTCACCACATCTAACAGGAGAATGCAGGCAAAATCATGACAATTAGGACAGGACATTTTAATCATTTTATTATGCTAATGGAAGGACAAATTCCTTGTGGTTTTATATCAACTGCTATTTTTATTTAAATAAATAAATTGAATTCCTTTGACAAATTTACATATATATTAATGTTTTTATTGCCAGTAGGTTAATCCTCAGGTTGTTATGTTTTTAATTAACTTGTTTTTAAAATTATGTTCCAAATTATCATTTATTAAACCTGTAAATTTCTGTAAAACATGATTATTTTAAATGCTGATGTGTGTAAATTTCATAAAATGTCCAAGACTTAAATGATAAATGCGCTAGGATTGAAAGTTAATTTAAGCTTTCTTCTTGTTACTTATATGTGCCTTATATCCCCTATATGGAATCTCCTGACAGGTCCAAAGAAAAATATAAAGCTTTTTATAAGGAGAAAAATGAATAGTGGAGTACCTGAATTTCTAACAGTTTCATCTTCCATTATAAAAATATCATTTACAGTAAATGAGGTTCATATTTCATATATGACAGGCCAGTCTTTCAGCTGATGCATGTTTCATTTTCTCCTTTATTACATTCATACTTATTCTCATTATTCTCTCACACTTTATTTCAACTGAAAAAAGTGCAGAACAAATATTTAACACACATCTGTAAAGGACGTCAGAACAGTGGGTATGTTTATGAGAGGAAGTAAACACTACCTCTTTATCCCTTGACGAATTAAAATGTCCAAACACACCATAACATTCACAATGGCAGACTGAGGAGCAGGACAAAGGCTGGCATTTAAATAGAAACAGGTAACCAACTAATGTGAGGGCAGGTGTGGAACATGACAATTAATCAATCAACCAAGACAGAGCAACAAGCAACAGGTAGGGCGAGTTACAATAATAGAGACAGAACCAGGGAAATCTAACAATCAGAAAACTAAAAACACTAATCAATCCTAAGAAACAGGAGACTAACACTGGGAAGGGGGCAGGAACTAACATACAAGCAGGACTATAATAAGAGGAAGAAGTGGGGAACAAAAGCAAAGACGGAAACACCAAACCAGGAATAAAATTACAAAACAGGTGTGACAGGTCTCAAACCAGCCTTGAAGCCAAGATGCAAGGAAACTGAATCTGAGCTGCACACACAGCCCACTGACCTATGCAGCAGTCTGGAGAGCAGGAAAACACACTATGGATGGGATACACTGAGGCTGAAGGGCAAGAAACAGAGAAGAGGACAGGATGGCCAGTGACACCTGCTGGCCAAACAGGAAGGGGACAGGGAGGGCAGGATCAGACAGGTGCCGACCCTGACAGGTTAAAGTTATTGCTCACCAGTTACACTCCTCGACCGTTTAATAATTTGATTCACTGAGCTTTTCATTCATTCTTTCATTAACCTTATTTTACCAGGCAAAGCATTAAGAACATTTTCTTATTTACAATGACAGCTTGGAAAGTGCCAGAAAGCAATTGTAAAACAAAACGAGAATGGAAATAAATAAATCATTTATTTAAAAAAAAATGAAAATAAATAATAATAATAATCAATAAATAAAAAAAACCTATAAGAGAATGATTAAACAGAATTAAAAATGTCCATAAGTAAGCCTTTGCCATGACAGATGAAAAGGTTTTGCTTTTTAAGGACAGGTTTCAAATCCATGAAACCAAAGAAAAGGACAAAACTGGTTCTATAAAAGCATGATAAAATCAGGTCATCATGATTTTTTCAATGTGTAAGTGACTTTCCTCAAACTAAACAAATGTTGGTGCCCCTTCTTACACACAGCCCCACACTTTTCTTCAAAACTCAACTTTTAGTAAATAATTGCCCCTAGGCATTTGTAAAGTTCAACACATTCCACGCCCTGACCTCTGATAGATGTGCAAGCTGTCTTCTAAAATCAACTATACTACCTTTTGCCTTAGATATGTTTAACTGCAGGTAAGACTTGTCACACCAACTGACAAAATCCTCAATCACCAGACCATGGCTGGTTTCCTTAACTTGCAGCCTGCTACCTACAGTATAACAGAATCATCTGCATACTAAACAATAGTTCTGCTTTCCGTCACACTCTGGCATATATTTCTGTAAAGAATAAATGACAGGGGTGACAGCACACATCCTTGTGGGCAGCTGGTGGAGGAGCAGACTTGGTCGAAGATTTCTCCATTTCTGTGTCCTGTCAGATAAAAAATCCAGAATCTAGCCCACAAGATTATTACTTAGGCCAAATTGTTCTAAAAGACGCCTGGCTAACATATGTGGTTGAACTGTGTCAAAAGAAGAAGAATAATCAACAAATAAAAGTCTAGCCTGGGACGCTTTTCCTTCCAAGTGCTTAAAAAGCAAATTGAGCATGGTGACTTTGGCATCTTCTGCTCCTCTATGGGACCTATTAGCAAACTGCATGGAATCCAGTGCATGCTCCGTCATACTTAAGATTTCTGACCTTACCAGTCTTTCAAAGGTTTTCATTACAATTGTCAGAGCAACTTGTCTAAAGTCATTAAGGGTATTTGGTTGACTGGATTTAGGAAGAGAAACTACAACAGCACAGAATGCACATCTGTAAAGATTGCTGTGTATGTAAATAATGAGGTGACATGTTCAAATATATCAATTGATTTCTTTGTAAATGCTGATACATTACTTTCTACTAATTAACTGTCGAGGTTTGTAGCATAATTCTCTAAT